TTAGTTTTAAAAAAGAAAAAAAAATCCCAGAACCTCTGAACTCTGTTGATAGTAAAGCTTTGGTTATAGACAATTGGCTGAGATCCCATTGGCTGCAATTCATTGAGGTTCCCATTGACATCAATAGGTCCAAACTTACGATCCCATACCGATATCTCTTGTCATCCAAAGGGACAAAATCCATTAGAAGCACATAGTCCGCCAATGGGTCCATGCCTGATATCTTCACCTGGAAGGTGGGAAACATCCTCCTGCCACAGAGAAAAAGGACTTTGCAAGATCATTTGTTTAGCTTCCTTGTTGCAATAGGAAAGGGCTTATCATGGCTTTGGAAATGCCAGCAGACTGCAAGGATCTTAGGTGATCAGGATCTGCTGGCCACAAAAAGATGGGTTATTGTGGATAATTGATACAACTGAGTATGCTGCACTGGGCCAGTAGCTTTGAGGTGAAAGTATGGAAAATGTCCTAAGGTAAGGTCTGTCTGTCTGTCTGTCTGTCTGTCTGTCTTTCTTTCTTTCTTTCTTTCTTTCTTTTCTTTTTTTCTTTCTTTTTCCTTCTTTTTCCCTTTCTCTTTCTCTCCCTTCTTCCTTCCTTCTTTCTTTCTTTCTTTCTTCCCTCCCTCCCTCCCTCCCTCCCTCCCTCCCTTCCTTCCTTCCTTTCTCCTTCAGAGCTTTGAAGGCCATCACAGAATGTGGGGAAAATATTCCTGAGCTGAGTAAATAGCATACTCTGGGTCAGGGAAGGGCAAATATCATGTGCCCAATATACAGGAAAAGCCATTACAAGTGTTGCCTTAAAGGCCCAAGCCACTTACCAAGTGGCTTCTCTCAAATTGGCAAGCTAGGCAATTTATCCCATGGCACACAACAAGCTCTAGCAAAACAGTTGAAAGAGAATTAGCTTACACACTAAACCATATTTTACATACATTTTTGAAGCATTAAACAGCTGCAATCATTTGGGAAGCTCGGGTGCGTGGTGTAATCTCCTTAAACCTCTTAATGATTCTTTACTTTGTTCTTATAAATGTAGTAGAGCTGCAGTTTTTGAAGCCTCCCTCCTGAAACTTTGCTGAGTGGTGTGCTTTCCTTACATCTGGTTTGTGGGGAGTTGAAGTCTACACATTTTAGAGATTCTGTGACTGAGAAATGCTGCTGATGGTGTCTGCACCCGAAGAGCATCGCACTTACCGTCCTGCCTTGGTGACAATCATCTCGGTGCCAAGGCTGTTGAACTCCTCCCAAAGGCTCCTCATTTCCAGTTGCACAGTGACACCAGACACACATTGGTTTTTCCTGGCTAACTGGGTGCTGCCACTTTGCTTCCCTGCTCCGTTGGTTCCGTATTGCTCAAAGTCTGCTCCTGTGCCCAGCAGACATGATGCAGTCAAAGGGCTAGGAGAGAAGGGGCAGCCCTCAGAGGTCAATACACTCAAACTTGCTGCAATGAATGCTGAGAAAGAAGAGAAAGAAAACCACAGTTTCAACTCCAGATACCATGGGAGACCAGACTTCCATAAGGCTCAGTGACAGAACCAAGATTTAGGTTAAAAAAAAATCCCTGCCCGTGGAAAAGATCAATGTCAGATTTTGAACATGTTATTTTCTGCACAGGATAAATGTTGACTTTCCTTGAGACATCTACATCTTTGGAATAATTTCTGATGTCTATGGAGATTCTCAGTCATCCAGGCTTTGAATGTCCCAAAACTGTTTTTTTCCCCCCAAAAGGCAGCTGGACTTTGTTTTTCCTTGAAGACATTTTACCTCATCCAAAAACCGAAGAAGCTCTCTGGATGAGAAGCAAAATGTCTTCAAGGAAAAACAAAGTCCAATTGCTTCTTTTGAAAAAGCACTTTTGGGAAATCCTGATGCATCTGTGTACAGACCCAGATTAATGGGGACAATCGAAAGAATAATTGCATCCCTCTAAGGATAGAATGCTTTCTTACGGTGGTGGATTAACTTTGAAGAATGGTGTGGGAATTTATCCCTATGGACAAAACAGACTTCACTAATACTATGCCCCAATTACCGGTATAGGTACACAATTATTTTTCCCCAAATATATTAACTCATCCCCCGCCTTCCATGTTTGTAAAAATGCAATTGGAAATTAAAGGACAGTACTAGGTCACCCTTTTAGTTAAAGAATAACTCAACCAAACTTTATATTATATATAAGAGGTGGTTACAGCAGAAATAATTACATGGGTGAGATGTAAACTATTTGACTTCATCTTAGACTGTGGTTTGTGAGTTTGGAAGATTTGCAACTGCCTCTCATTGACACTCAGTCTTGAGCCATGCTGACGCACGGCCTTAAACATATATCTCAGCAATGAGCCACCCCCCACCCCCAAGCTCATTGAGTGCTGAATGTGTGCTTTGAAAAAAATACTTGTCATCAAAAAGCCTGAAGCTTTTTCTTATAAAAATAAACTTCTGTTTCAATGTCCCAAAGCTACTTTTTTCAAGAGGCAATTGGACTTTCTAGTTTTTCTTTGAAGGCGTTTTGCTTCTCATCCAAGAAGCTTCTTCAACTCTGACAGGATGGTGGGGAATGGAAAGATTCTTCTCCCATCTTCCCTGCCATCCAGTCAGAGCTGAAGAAGCTTCTTGGATGAGAAGCAAAACATCTTCAAAGAAAAACTAGAAAGTCCAGTTGCCTCTTGAAAAAAGCACCCTTGGGACAACCATGACCTGGATGACTGAGAATCTCTATAGACGTTCTATTCCAATGCACCTGTGGGTCCTTTAATTGAAAAACAGGGGAAAATGTTAAAATAAATATAAATGTATTTGTAGCAGATGGCGTGTGCTTTTTTCTGAATTCCATCTCCATTAGAAGAACAATCACATATTCAAATTGGTAATTGCTAAACTCATACGCTGTTGTTAATTTCAGAAGGTGGAAATGCCAAAACATGAATATCTGCCTAATATGGAAATCTTGGCTCCTTATTGCATATGATTGTGTCTTCTCAGAAATAAGCTTTCCTTAAAATATCAGAATATGTTTTCAGACATAAGTTATGAATTTGAAAATAAGTTTGAAAGCTGAGTTATGTCCTGTATGCTTTTCATAACCTTTTCTGTGCAAAACAGGAGAAGGCAGTACTAGCATCTTCAGAAGAGCTAGCTGAGATTTGATCCTGATGTAGTTGTAAAGATATGTACTCTGTCACTGTATAATAGGCGTGAATAGGAGTCTCATACCATTTTAATGTGTCCCATTCCAAAGGGATAAGCTGAAATAGAGTGTTTCCCTCAGTGAAGAGAAGATGGAATAAATGCATGGGATTCTTTGATTGACAGTACTAGGAACTGCCTCTCTAGAAGCTGCTAACGGCACTTGGCCAAGGAGTCACAAAACATATTGAACAATAAACTGGAGTTAACAAAACACAATTGGTGTGATCACATAATATACTGTATCTGAACAAGTCAACAATATTATAGATCAACATGATGGCTTAGTTCAGTGTTTCTCAACCTTGGCAATTTGAAGATGTCCGGACTTCAACTCCTAGAATTTCCCAGCCAGCATTTGCTGGCTGGGGAATTCTGAGAGTTGAAGTCCAGACATCTTCAAGTTGCCAAGGTTGAGAAACACTGGCTTAGTTCATGCAACAAACTAAGACAATGGCTGAGTTCCTACAATACTAGAAAAGCATATTGGGTAAAACCAGCCAAGAAAGGCTTTGACAGAGGGAAAGTGAGTGTAGGGACACATAACACATAATCCTTCTAGACTAATTTTTCATTATTCCTACCTCTTGAATACTAACGGAGATGTTGCTTTTATAAGGGGACAGGTGGATTGCAACAGAGCCATAGGATGGAACAGGAGCAAAATCTGATTCTCAAAATATGCCAGATGTTTCAAGGATAATGTTCTTTCTTTGCCTGGATTCAGAGGTTCTTCCCCTGTTTGCATGTTGCTAAGCCACCAAAATCTCCTGCCACTTTTTTGGGTTGTGTCCCCATGACATTGCTTTCATTTGGGTTCTAGTCCATGAGTGAGAGGGGCTTAATTCATTGCAGTATGCTTTCCCCCATTATCTTGACATTGTCTAAGGCCAGCCTCATAGTGTGTAAAATCAGTTTTGTCCTGTGTTTCCTTGCAAGGAAATCAGGTGGTTGTAGTGATTTGAAGATAAGATGCAGGAAATCAATTAACAGAAATTGATTTTATGCTGGTAATTTTTGCTGTGACAAAGATGGACTGAAACAGAGGTGGGTTCCTACTAGTTCGCACCTATTCGGTAGAACCGGTTCGTCAAATCTACCGAACCGGTTAGAAGAGGTTCCACCAGTGGACCCGGAAAGCAGGCCACACCTACAGAAGAGGTTCCAAAACTTTTTGAAACCCACCACTGGACTGAAAGATCTTTAACTCCAGAATGGGGGGAAAGGCCCCTTAAGTCAGGAAAAAAGCAGCTATGCTGGAAAAATATCTTGCAAATTATGTGACAGAGATAGTATGAGAAAAGTTTAATAATTTGTTACACTGTTGACAGTAGATCATAGGAATACATTATTGCCATTCCATTCTTTCACAAGGGAAGCTGTTTGTTTGTTTGTTTGTTTGTTTCTGGCCTTAACTTTTTAGTCCTCCATTCATTTACCCAAATCACTAAATTTTAATTGAAAAAAAAATGAAAGGTTGCATTGGCAAGAAAAACTAAAACATTGGGAGATTAAATTTCAGATCTGTACTGGGGCTCCTCCTTTCTTCTTTATTTATTATTACTTTGAATAGTTTCATTGTTTTTGCTTTTTCAAAGTTCCTAAGGGAAAACTTCTTTAGGCTTTTTCGTTGTAAAAAGAATGATTTTCCTGCTGTGAAAATGTCTTCTCTTGTGTGTTACAAGGCTATTCATGACTGTTTTCCTAAGCCAGCTTTCTGAGGTTGGATATTTGGGTCATGAAGAATTTGGCAGTAATTCAGTTTTCTTTCCAGTTGTGAAAGGTTTTTCCCCGTGTTATGAATATGTTTATATACAGAGAGAGAGAGAGAAATTGAGAAAGAGATTATTGTAATCTTATTCACTTCTTGATGAGATTCAGGTTCCACAACTTTATTTATTTTTCCTCCTTCAACTTCATTTGGATTACTTTTCTACCAGGACATTTCTGAAGTCTGTACTTTGGACTTTCAAGTACAGCTTCAAAGTTTTCACTAGAGCCTACAGGAGTTTGTTGCTTGAATCCCAGCTGTGCACCAGGTAATTATAATTCTTTCTCTCTTCCTTTCTGCCAAATGTCTGGAAAGTCTAGAATTGAATTTAATTAGAGGAAGTTTAGGTGAACCCAGTTAAGGTGCAATGAAGTGGGACCAGAAAGCGACAAACAAGAAAAACTGCTGTTTAAAGCCAAACCCCTGGTGCTTTGTGATTGTTAGAGCAAGAACTATGACATATTTGCAAGCCTTTTCAGCCCAGTGGATCTTTTTAGCTGAAGCCCCTACAGTACCAGTACTTCCTACATTGGAAGTATTAGTGGGATTAGCTTTGTGAACTCCAAGCTGGCATGCCTGAGAGAACCAATGAGAAATCTGTCAGAGAAAAGGATCAGTTTTGGACCTTGAACATGGTTTTATCATTTCTTTAGATTTGTATTGCTGATGGGAACCACCCAAGAGTTTTCTATGATCTGGATCATCAGGGCACACTCCCTATAGCTGATGCGAAAGACTGTTGTCCCAAACAATTCCAGTTAGGAAACGAGGAGTTAAAATTGTTCTGTCCAATAATAAACCAATTATTATCACCAGTTTTTTAAATCAGTTAATTGTTACTGTGCCTTACTTATATTAATGCTTTAATTCAGCTTATTTTCGCCTTGCTTTTTCCAGTAGAGCCTGGGAAACCACAATAATTTTTGCATGTTGTAACTACTCCATCTTGTGGTTTCATTACTCCATTTCCCTTTGTCCTTTTTATATACAGAATGCTTTATATTTTCACTAAAATTTTTGTTTATGCAAACTACTTATTTTGTCCTTTAATATGCCTTAAAATATCTACTTTTTGGCTCCAACTTTAAATAAAATATTCAAAATGATTGCTTTTTGTCCAGATCTAATTAGGACTGCAGTTTCATTGGGATAAAGAAACAAACATTCATTTCCTAAATCTGTTTGAAACTACCATCTAGGTGGCAGCCTAACCAATTTGACTTGATCTTGAAAAGCTAAACAAAGTTATATTTATTGTTTGGATGGGAGACAACCAAGAAATATGAGGGCTAAAGATGGATTGGAATTTAAACAAAACATACAGGTCCCCGAGTCAAGCCTGAATCAAGCTGAACTTTACCTCAGGACTGTTTGATTAGCAATCTATGTTCAGCCATGTATAATTCCCACAGGAATATGGGTATAGAACATGAGCTTGGTATAGCTCAATCTGGAAATGAGGAGATTAATGTTCTGTTCCTTTTATACAATTCTCTTCTTTTTGTACACCTTGCCTTGTTCTCTTCATTCCTTTCTAGAGCCCTCAGAAAAATTACATGTGAATGATATATATTTTAAAGCAGGTTCTCAAAAATGCAACAAATGTTTTGTAATGGCATGTGGGAATGACCTTTGAAAGCAGGGAGAAGAGCCTCAGCCATGGAAACAGTAGGATAAAGAGGCAGTTTAACCCATAGAAGGAATGTGGGAATGGTAAATATCTCAGAAGAGAACCATCCCAGTTTCTTGAGCTATAAAGGCAACAGGAGAGAAATGTACTTTCAAACTCACAAAATTCTGTTAATGTAACCTAATGTAACCTAATGTAACCTAATGTAACCTAAGTTCAGTTGTGTTGCTCCTGTACAGCCATCCAAAGGTTTCTGGAGATATGCACTTAATCTCTCCAGCTATCAATCTACACACTTGTGCAAAACCCTGAAAAAATGTGACTATATTATTTAACCAGCTCAAGTCTATTCGCTATTCTTCTATATTCAAAGAAGAACCTTCTTTCATTTTACCTGTATCTAAGGACATCAGGGCCATCCATCACAGAAAATTTCCTTAAAATAAGGATGATCAACTCATGATTAATTGGCTACGTATGGCCCCCAAACTCAGTTTGGCAACCTCCTGGATTTCATTGCCAAAATCCAATAGCAAAACTAGGGATGGGAGTGGTTTGCAACACAGTTCGGTTTTCTTTTAAAGAAAAACAGAACAAACCGAAGCTCCTCAATTATATAGGGAGTTTAATTATCAACTTCATTTAGCATCTCTCCAATTGAAATGGCTGTTAAAATTGAATCCATCCATCACTGCTCTTAAGGTGTAAATAATAAAAAACCAGGAGGAAAAAAATGCTCCAGGCAACATCCAGCAGCTACACCCAATGCCTGCAGTGCTACAAATTCTCCACAGGAAGAATCACTGGGTAGAATTGCCAATAGGGGTATGGCTGTTTGGAAGCTGCACAGTAAGCTTCCTAGCCAAGAGACCCAACCATCTCACCTGCCTTGTTGGCTAGAAGTCAATGTGTACCTACCTTCCCCTCTAAGGATGCTATCCTTCTCATTATTTCCAGATTCCAACTGAAGTGGTCAGGGCAACCCCACCACTTCCTTGTTAGGCATTTGCCACATTTCATTCCTTGGATGGTATTTAAAGTCACACAAGCATGTAATTAGATTAATTCATTCTTGTGGCTTAATCATGTGTGCCCCTCATATACTGATGTACACAAGGAGCTTCGCCCATTGCTACCACAACCCCTTTAGCTTAATGTCCTGATTGCTTTCGAGGTGTAGCACCACCACCTGATGCTCCCGGGGACTGAGTCAGGTTCTTGCACCCTCAGGACATTTCCTTGAGATAACCCAGGCTGCTACTCTTTAGGATCCCCAACTGACCTAGATAAAAAAAATGCTACCTTACTATCTCCAGGATTTTGTTGAACAGGCACATGTGGAATCATCACACGAAAGGCCCAACTCAAGCATCAAACATGCTGCTTCTCTGCACAGCAATGCAACACAAGAGTAAGCTATCTTTAAGGCAGCCTTTCCCAACCTTTAAATTTGGGATGATGGGTGTTGTAGTCCAACAGCTTCTAAGGGTCCTTGCTTAGATCTACACCGGACTCCCTCTAACAGTCCTTCATTTCTTTGGAATCCCCCCCCCCAAGCTCCCCTCAGCCACAGCCAGTGGACAGGAGTGATGGGTGTTGTAGTCCAACTCTTCTCAATAGCACTGGTTTGGGGAAGCAGCATTAGTCCAATAACTACATCTCTACCTGTCCTAGCACTAGAGGAACCTAGTGCCCTAGAAGAATTCAAGATGCCCAAAGAAAAAAGCGCTAAGATCCAAAATATGGATGAAGTACATTGCTGGGTCCAATTACCTGACATTGTACGGAGCTGGAAGGCGGTGGGAAGACTCTGGCTCATTCAGTTCATTCCCTTCTCAGTCTTGCCATTTCCTGCTCTGCAATGCTCCGAGTTGGATCTCCAGAATGGTGTGAGCGATTTTATTTTCCATCACTGCAGGGCTGGGGGGCTAGTGGTGGACGCGTAGCAAGAGAGGTTTCCGTTCCCTCCAATGAGCAGCAAAGCAGGGAGGAGAGTGAATCAGATAAAGGCTTGGTTGGGTGAAAGCAGCACATGCTAGAATCATCTGGTGTTCACGTCCATGCAGCCAACACCCATCGATTAATGAGCCCAATGAGCAGGTGACCAGGGGCAGCAGTCCTGGGACCACCTCCTGGGCTGAAATAATATTGCTAAAGCCAGAGGGCAAAAAGCTTCCTCTGAGGTATGGTGGCCATGACAGCTCTAATTGTTGTTAGCATTTCTCATAGAAAGAGAAAGAGAAGCCATGATGGAAGAGCCGAAGTCTGTTTCTAGTGTCAAGTGAGCAGGGGGCTCCTGGCCAGCTCCCAAGTGCCTTTCCATGTTGTATCAAAGAGGAAGGTTTCGCAAATGCAGTTTTTTCTCATCCCTGGCAGTTTAATAATGGGATGGAACACCTTTGCACATTTTCTTTTCTACATAGGAAATGATTACAGGCATAGGAACTGTCTTCTCCCCAACCAAACTTTCATTGCATGCTATTGTCCCAGCTGCCAGGTAGCTACTCTTTTTTTCCCCCAGGAATGTTATCTGGAGAATCTGTGGATTAGGGAATTCAGAGTAACAGTAATTTTGGCTGCCTAGGGCAGTGGTTCCCAAACTTGGCAACTTTAAGACTTGTGGACTTCAACTCCCAGAATTCTCTGGCTGGAGAATGCTGGGCAACTAATACTCACAAAGATCCATCAGAAAACATCATCAATTCTTTGTAATTAAATGGCTTTTCCTTGATTTTTAGATGGCTAGAATCATAGAGAGAGATAAGCCAGGGCAAGATATACATAAACCTGCCACATAGACATTATTATATCTGCTATGAATGCTGTCTGATTGATATTCACAGACCTAAAAGCTTCATTAATTCAAAGGAGAATTTAAGAGAGAACTACAACTACTTTAATAAAAAAGACTGGAAACCTTTTATAGACTTTTTTTTCTGAAAATGAGTAAATTTGAATGCTGATTTCAGGATTTATTGATTAAAAAGTATTTTTATGGGAAGAAAGGAATTGTGATATACTTGGACTTGGACTTAATCTTCATAAATGTCAACGTCCACAAGGCAGTGACCGTTGCATTGTGAAGGCCAGGGGCAGGACATCACGTTACATTATCCGTGTGTTGTCCTGCCACTGGATTCTCAGCTTGTTTCACGGTTCCGTCGCCACGGGAACCAACACTCCCCATTTATCCGGGCTTGTGACCGGCTATGGTTTCCCATAGGCTGGGTTATTGTGATATACAGTATGGGAGAGTAGAGATCAGTGGTGGGATTGAAATAATTTATCAACCAGTTCTCTACCCTAATGATTTCTTCCAACAACCAGTTCACCCAACTGCTCAGAAAGTTAACAACTGGTTCTTCCCAAAGTGGTACGAACTGCTTGATCCCATCACTGGTAGAGATGGTATTTGCTACATTTATAACTGCTGCAAAGAAGATTGGAAGTCACTTTAGATCTTTCTTTTTTCTTCCTTTTAGTTATTAGCTTTTTGTAACCTATTTTTTTTTCTGTTTCTTCCTCTATGTTTCTGTAGTTTTTAAAAATCTTTTATTTAAAAAAATTATTAAAAACTTAATTCAGGAGAGGATAAGGCCTCAATCTTAAGTGGTATAAAGCTGGTTCTTTTGGCTACA